ATAAATAAACGTTAAAAAAAATTAAAAAAAGAAAAAAAAGAAAAAAAAAACAAATTGTATTGAGGTACAGCATACACACAGTAAAGTACACAAATCTTTATTTACTGATAAACGATGTGGTAGGGGAACGATAGAGCAACAAGTTTGATTCTATTGGTAGAAAAAAGGTAACCTGGTAGTTGTTACACTATAGCAATTAATAGCTGTAAAATAGCTATGAAATATAAAAATAGCTATAAAAACAAATGTCCCTTTTAAAACATTAGAGGAGGGGCACCTAGGTGGCTCAGTTGGTTGAGTGGCTGACTCTTGATTTTCACTCAGGTCATGATCCCAGGGTTGTGGATTGAACCTAGCATTGAGCTCCATGGTGAGCGTGGAGCCTGCTTAAAATTCTTTCTTCCTCTCTTTTGGCCCCTCCCTGACTCATGGTCTCTCTGTGAAACAAACAAAACCGAAAAAAAAAAAAAAAAAAAAAAAAAAAAAAAAAAAAAAAAAAAAAAAATTAGAGGAAAAATGCCTGCTCTGCATTTTTTGTAAACAAAAAGATATTATTTGGGGCATTGTGTAAACTTGGGACCTAGAAGGAATAGAAGCTGCATCAAGTCTAATCTACCATGGGCTACAGATCTAATGCTCGTTTCTTCTCCATCCGTGGCTGATAAGAAACACACAGGGGTCAGGGACTGGGACAAGTCTTTATATACTCATAGTCTTTTTGTATTAAATTTGTACACATTGTCATTAGCCTTTCAGCTACTCTGTGGGGGATATTTTCTTTTTATTGTATTGCACTGAGGTAAACATGCATGCAGTAAAGCACAGAAACATAAGTGTGCAATTGAATGAAATTTTACAAATATATATTACCCATGTAAAAACCACTGAGATCAAAATATATAACGTTTTCTGTAGCTCAGGTTCCCTCGTGCCTCTTTTCAGTATATATTACCCATACCCATAACCCCTATTCTGAATTTATCACCATAAATTAGTTTTGCTTATTCATGAATTTCATACAACTCAAAGCACACAGTATATACTCTTTTGTACTTCTTTCATTCATCATATCTATTGAGTTTCATTCCTGCTGCATGTTGGAATTGTTTGTTTTTCTTTATAGCTGGGTAGTATTTCATTGTAGATATGTCCTACAATTTATTTATATGTTATCCTGTTAATGGAAATTTGTGTTATCTCCAGGCTTTTGCTCTCATGATAACAATGCTGTGTGAACACCCTTGAATATGTCTTAGGGTAGACATATACACTTGTTTCTATTGGATAAATGCCTGGGAGTAGGACTGCTGGATCAGGTGTGTTTGGCTTTAGAAAATACAGCCAAATAGTTTTCCAAAGTGGTTATACCCATTTTCAACCAGTTTCGATTGCTCCACATCCTCACCAACACTGGGAGTGCCAATCTTTACTTGTAGCTAATCTTGTGTATGTGTAGTGGTGCCCCTATGTGCTTTTCATCTACATTCAGAATAGATTATGAGCCACTTTCCATTTGCATATTGACCATTTGATATCCGCTCCTGTGAGATGCCCACTCAAGACTTTTGCCTGTTTTTCTATTGGATTGTCTGTTTTTTCTTATTCATCTGTGTTCTTTTTTTTTTTTATTTATTTTTGAGACAGAGAGAGACAGAGAGCATGAACTGGAGGGTCAGAGACAGAGGGAGACACAGAATTGAAACAGGCTCCTCGGATGCTTAACCGACTGCGCCACCCAGGCGCCCCTCATCTGTGTTCTTTATACATTCTGCATGCAAGTTCTTTTTTTTTTCTATGACTTTTCACTCTTTTAATGGTGTCCTTTGATAAACAAAAAATTCTTAATTTTAATGAAATTCTTTTTTTTTTTAATTTAAATGTCTGAGATATAAGTTTATGCAGTAAAATCACCCTTTTATAGTTAGTGTACAGTTCCATGAGTTTTGACAAATGCGTGACATGTAATTACCACCACAAGCAAGGTATGGACTGCTTCATCACCCTTCAGAAATCCTTCATGCCCCTTTGTACTCAACCCCACACCCACCTTCAGCCTTTGGCAACTACTGATCTCTATCCCTATACTTTTGGCCATTTCAGAATGTCACAGGAACATAACCATACAGTATGTGGACTTTTGGGTCTAGCTTTTTTCACTTAGCATAATACATTTATGATCTAGCCATGTTGTTATGTGTATTAATAATTAACTCCTTTTTATTGCTGAGTAGTATTCCATGACTGGGCTTAAGCACAGTTTATCCATTTATGACCTATTTTCAGTTTTTGGCAATTTGTGTTACTTTGCTTATGGTGGGCGTGGGCTTTAAGTTTCCCCTGTGAGCCTGTGCCTGGGAGACACTTGCCACTGTTGTTCCTTCCCCTGGAGTAGATTCTTACTAGACACTTCCTGGCCTGGTAGGGGAGAGGCATTCTGCTTTCTCGGTTCAGCTTCAGTCTCAGGCAAGATTTTTGTCTCTTGGTCTTGGGACTAGAACCTGCTTGGTGATCCTGCCCTCCACCCCATGGCAGACAAACTCTGCCTTGGGTCATGGTGGTTCTTGTGTGGGAGAGATCTTCCTGCCTGCTCCCACCCAGGAGAGGTGGGTTTCTTTTGTTTTGTTTTTTGTTTTTTCCCCAGCTATAATGGGTCTACATCCCTTACCACCCCCCCCAGGGGCTTTTTTTTTTAAGGTTTATTTTTATGTTTATGAGAGAGAAAGAGTTGTGTGTGTGTGTGTGTGTGTGTGTGTGTGTGTGTGAGAGAGAGAGAGAGACAGACAGACAAACAGACAGACAGACAGCAGAGAGCCAGATGCAGGGCTCAAACAGTCATGACCTGAGTGTCAACCGACTGAACAATTCAGGCACCCCAGCGGTTTTTGTTCTATAGGGGTTTTGTTCATGTCTCTTAGACCTGTGCTAACATAAGAGGCTTCCTCTGTACACCTCCCCTGACTCTGACCTTTCTTAGGAGCTTTCTGTGAAGTTTGTGGAGAAAAAGCCTGTGAGGGGGTGTAAATTCCCCTTATGTCTATAACTTTCACGAGTTCTATACTCTCATGTCTATGACAGCAGCAAATTGTAAAAATTTAACTATTAACCCATTACAGAGGATTAGCTGCGATCTTCTTACCCACTTCTACAGTGGCTGTGTCTTTCCCAGGTGCTCTGTCTCAAGTAAGCCAGTTTCCACGAATGCTTCTCTCCTTGGAGACATCTGCCTTTCTGTAAATTTCAGGTTTATTTGCCCTCTGACCTCAGGTCTCTGATGGGTTCAAGAGAAGTTGTGATGTAGGCTATTCAGGTTTTTCTTGTGCTTAAAGTGGGAGGCAACAATCTTTCCAGCTTCTTACATTCTAAATGGAAGCTGGACGTCCTCATGAAATACTATTTATCAATTTTTCATGTGCTCTATTTAAGAAATCATTGGCTAATGGCACAGGGTCATTTTCAAAGGCATCCTGCTTGAGATTTTTCTGCCCAACAGGGCTCCTGCCAAAGGAGAGGGGATTCCCCCCAAAAAAGTGGGGTGGAATAG